CTTCGCAGCTGAATGTGCTAAAAGTGTGTGGCCTCGTTCTAGCCATAAAGAAATAATGTAGTCTTTAAACCTCTTTCTAGAACACAAGTTTTTTTAGGACCCACATTTCTTGAAAGGAAACGGTGCCCACAAGATATATAGGCTTATTTAAGATGAACGATTTTCCTGTTTCTAAGATTATTACAACATGACTGCTAGCATTTATTTTTATGTATGTTCAGTATTGTCTTGAACAATCCCCATGCGGACCGGACCCGTTCTGTTGGCAACTTCAAATGCTCAGCACTGATGTTGTTTTTTAATGTATTTTCAGGGCAACTTTTGGACAGAGGTACTATACAAGAAGTATGTTGTTGGTCTTAACTGTCACATTTGTACTTGTGAACTCTAAAAAACATACTAAATTGCTTTACTATTGGTAATCAAATAGATAACAATAGAGAGTGATAAATAATGCACATTTTAAAAAATTCTGCCAATGTTTAGAAATTATCAAATTCAGCCTTCAGCTAACAATTGAAACTCCTAAATTCAATTACATTTCTTTAGACATGTTACTCCAGCCAGATTTTTCCATTTTTTTTCAAAGACTAAATGGATTTAAAAAAACTATTTTTTTTCAAATAATACGTGGATTAAAAATGCATTTAAATCCTGACATCAGAGGATAGTTTATTTCATCTGAATTCTTTGCATGTGTGATTCCAGAAAATTCATCACATTATACAAAGCCAAATAGTTTTTATTTTATTTATTTCATGACATGCAAAGACAAAGGAGAAAGATGCTGAAGTTAAACACAACAGACCAATTAGATGAGGCATGATACACTGCTAAAAAGACCAAACTTGGTTCAGAAATACAATACCCAGCATACTTCCAGCCAAAATGAGTGGGAATATAGTTGCTGAAGTCTGTTAAGCTAAAATGTAATTGTAGAAAAGTAATAGTTTTCATTACAAGATTTTCAGTGATTATTTTCTCTCCTAAATCTAATCTGAAAGTGATCAGCAATGCTACAAGTTTGATTAAGTTGAGTAGTAATACGATCCTGCTGGGTTAACTTTTCCTACACGAGGTACATTAAAAAATCTATCATCTGCTGCTTTTCAAGTAATACATCCTGATGACTTGCTCTTGATCTTTTAAGTATGTGCGTGTATATACATATGTGTATGTATATAAATACATATAAGTTCCATAGTGGGAATTTATAAAGATTTTTGGTTTTGTTCATGAGGGAGGAATTATCTACTTTGTTATGATGGGAACCTGCTTATATTCAGGTGTTTGGGGTTATTTTTTTGTCAAAAAAAATAGAAACTGGTAAAATAATAGAAATTATAAAAGTACTTTTTACTGCAAGACATAACAACTGGGATCTTGTCCTACAAATCATTTGGAATGACTTTTAATACATGACATTTTAATGGTTGGTAGCTGTTTTGTATATTCATTTTGGTGCAGCTACATATAACGTAAACCACACATTGAATTGCTACGTCAGGATTGAGTTAAGACTAACATTTCCACACGGCGTTGAGAGAAAGGAGAATGGGGCAAGACAGGAAGGTGAAAAAATGATGTTAGGAGAAATTGCTGTCTAGGTTCTCACAAGTCTGTGCGAGACTCTGCTTTCAGGTTGGCTCCTGCAGCTTCCTGATCAGTAGCAGTGAAACAGGCTTGGATGGTCTGCAACCAGTGGACATATTTGGACCACTTGTGCCCAGGAAAATGATCTGCCAGGGGTATGTTTTAACGCTGCCAGGGGCAAGTAATTAATTCTTTGTTGCTCTAGGAGAGTCCAGCAGTGCCCTGGATGTTTCTGCAGTCTTTTGGAGGAGCATCCTGCTCGTGTACTTAATTTAGCAGAATAATGCATTCATTTTTCTCAATAACAGTAATGTCAGCAAAAGGTAGAAGGCAGAAACTCAGTCTGTGCTTGCCTGCTACTACTATAAAAAAGCAGACTTAATTAGTAAAATTGGCTGTATTTCAAGGAAATATTGCCCCTAATCAGTTGATAGGGTTGCATAGGGAATACGAGCATAAGGATAAGTCCTGTTGAAGGGACATAAGTTTTAAGAGGAAAAGTGATTCCACTGCTTTTAAAATTTGCAGATCAGAGCTGTCCCACCTGTCTGTGACCTCCTGAGCGTCCTGAAAAAGGAGGAAGAAAACTGTGCTGAGACTCTGTCCCTGGAGGCAAAGAATAGAACACCCGAAAACGATCTGCTCCTGAACTCAGGTAAAGGCTGAATGAATGTGCAAGATAAAAACAGCTCTCAGATGAGCTGGCTGGCCTCAAAATCATATAACTCCACATTCCTTCCCATAGAAGGCATGTATCTTGTATGCTTCTCTCATTTAGGAGCAGAAAAACAGGTAAGATCTGTTATAAGGTTTCGCGAGTGGGATTTTGACCTTACTGTGACAGCAAAAGTCATAGGAGCCTTCTAACTCAGCTGCTCATCTGCAGTCCTTACAACTGGGAAGCACGGTCATAGGAGCCTTCTAACTCAGCTGCTTATCTCCTTACAACTGGGGAGCACATCAGCAACAAAATCTTGCAAATTGCAGAGGATTTGGAATTCTTCTCATCTTGGACAAGGTTATTTTTATAAAGTCAGCCCAGTAAGTGCAAATTTACTTAACTATATTTGCGTTCAAAATCAATCAATACCAGCAGCCAACATTTAAATCACGTGTCCTGAAGGTTCTTGTTGCTTCCTCCGTGCTCTAACTTACTGTCACGTAACAGAGCTCTTGCATTTCAGAGAGCATTTATCATTATATAAAGGAGTTTTTTGGCCTGGGAAGGTCTTGTGGCCCTGAGTCCTCATCATGTAGACAGCTTTCCTTTGACAGCTGAGCAAGCGTGTTCATGTGCAAGGGATCTCAGAGAGATAACTGCAAGCAATTATTGAAGCTTGTCTACGACCTGAGTGTTAGCTCCCCCAGGCAGCAGCTGGGTCAGCATCTCACAGAGTACATTGGATGGAGGCAACAGATGTGACTATTTTTTGTGCATGACCAGCCATCGCCACTAAGGATGGGTCTGTGTCATTCACAGCATCTCTCAGACTGAACTGTTTCTGGGTGACTTTTGTGGACCATGACATGGCAAAGTCCTCACCAGTATGGAAAGTGAAGGAGCTCCCGTGAGATATGCTGCATACAGGGTGTCCTGGCCAGAGATAAGCTACAGTGTAGAGCAAGATTTGAGGCTTTTTCTTCATTTCAAAGCCTTGCTCTCTAGCAGAGAGTGTTCGACACACAGAACTGTTTCACTATGGCCTGGCCCAAGGGCAGGACTCAGAGGGAAGATCTATTGCCTGGTTTCTTAGCATACCTAGCATTTTTCTCCATCCCTGTGAGCCTTGTAGACTGATGGGCGTGAGCACAGCTTCAGGGCATTATGCCCATGTAGCAGTGACAAGGGTACCTTATGACAGGTTGCCAGATACTCCAGAATAGAGATCTGTCTCATTGCACAGAAGAATTTTGATCATATGAATAAATCAGTATTGTTTGTTTCCTTCCCCAGTGCCCTTCACCAAAGAGGAGGGTGGTTTCATAACCTGTCTATTTGTCTGCTTTGATACTGTGACGTAGGTCTAATGTTGAGCTCTGCGTTTCCTCTGCACCAGAGCTCTGAAGATGCAAATAAGTTAAACTTCACAGGACCATGCAGGTGTGGACCAGAACTAGCATTAGCAGGCAGTACTGTTTTACAGATGGTCTCGTTTTCTCTCAGTCAAATAGTAGCTCCTCAGCAGAGACTTAATGTAGGATTAAGTTGGATCCAAATCTTAAAAATTCCCCTGAGACCTTTTGTTACTGGAAATTTTTAAACAGGATAATTCTACCCTCTGTGCCACGCTCCCCAAATCCACAAAGAGATAAGGTATAGGATTATGTTAAATCTTTGAGAAATCATTTCCAATAGCTGTCAAAGTTGCTCTTGTAACTCTGGCAAGTCAGATCAAACAAGGCATACTGCCGTGGGCTCAGGGCTGCCCACATAGCAGAAAGCCTTAGGCTGAAAGTGGCCAGAGTGACTAAGCCCTGTCTCTGTAACTGTGCAAACACACCGCATGGCAGTGAAACCCCAGAAAAATAAACAGGAGTAAGATACACATCTTTCCCAAGTATTGGTTTTTTGAAAAGAGAGCCCAGGAATTTCCTTCTGCTGGTCTCGAGGAGGGTTTGTTACGTCGGTAAATTGTGGAGTAATGCTTTTATTCTGGAAAATATTTGCTTGTCTTCTGCAAACACCTCCAACATTTGATTATCTGCATGTCTGAGGTCCATGTGGAGAAAATCCTATACAAGGACTTCAGTCTGAAGAAGAGAGAAACAAAGCTCTGGGTATCCAGTGCATGTCCCTGGTGGATCATGTAGGAAGAGAGAAAGGCAGTTTTCGGGGTGTAGGTCACCCTCCATACCCCATCCTTTCTGCATCTTGCCCAAAAGCTTTGCCTGGTGCGGGCAGGCAGTGTCAAGGAGCAGCACGAAGAGGGGCAAAGCAAGGGACAAGCTTCCACAGCGCTGTCTCTGCTGCAATGCTCACACCCCTGTGAAAATGGTACAAACACACATGATTAGTTGCGAGTGAATCAGGCACAAAGTACCTGTGCAGTAAGTGTTTCTTATCTTGCTGCAGTATAAGGAAAAAGGGACTCTGTGTTTTACCTCTGCCCTTGTGACACCAGCAGCTTGGAGGAGGAAGAGCTGTGCTCTGCCTCCACCCAGGAGGCTCTTTAGGTAGGTAGGGTGGGTGGCACTGGCTTTGCTCCCTGAGGGCTGGTGAGAAGCCCTCCTGCAGGAGGAATGGCTTGGCTGCGGTTTTTTTTTTTCTCCTCCTGGGAGAAATTCTCGGAGACCATCCCAACAGGCTTTTCTGTTCACTGAGTCTGATTTGGGAGCTTTATGCCAGTGATGTTGGCATGAAGGTTTGATAACCCAAATACTGCAACACAGCTAGGCATAAATATCACCCAAGGTGATGTTTCATTTACAATTAAACTATTTCTTTGAAGTAAATGGTTACCAAGTCATATAAACAATGTCACAGGGAGGAGACCAGAGCTGAGGTGCCCTGGCTGTTGAAAATTCCAGGCACTAGGACTGTTGTGGAGGAGCAGATCAATATGTTTCTGGAAATGAAAATATCTTTGTCAGGCTGCTGGAGGCTGGCCATATGAGGCACAAAGCATTTGAGGAGAGCGCTCAGCACTTCCCTCTGCTTTCAGTAAGTGTGCAGGGCATTTGGCCCAGACCGGGACCCACCAGGCATAGGGTGGTGGTTCTGGCATGCTCCACTGGCCTCTTTTTTCCCCATCGTGTTACAAAACACACAGTGGAGGCTTTTCTAAAACCAATGACAGTGAGTGGAGGCAAAAGAGAACCAGCATGAATGATTTCAGCTTATGTCTGAAAGAGTAAAATAAGCAAGACCAGAATTACAGTTTCTCTGTGGCACAAGGGGCATCAACTGTAGGTCTTCTCTATTAACACTCTACACCACAGGCCAAAATTCATCCACACCAGCTTCAGGCACCTAATCAAGATGTCTAAGCTGAGATCACCATCATGCTGTGCTCCATTGACCCTCAGCTCCCTGATGCATCTCTACCAGCCCTGCCAGAAGGCAACACAGCCAAGCTGAGGGCTGGAAAAGCCTGCCTCACACCCTGACTGTAGGAGGGGACCACAACAAGCCCATCCTAACCGAGGGAAATTGGATGAATCTGGGCAATGTTGGTCCCTGCAGCTGATGGAGGCCTTGGGTAGCAGAAGGTGCAGGGAGGGCAACTGAGCCTGCAGAGAGCCCAGCAGGACTCCAGGTTCAATGGCTGCTCTGAGATGGGTCCTCCAACAGGCATGTCACACTGTCAGAGGCCTGGCCTTGGAAAGAAGAACAGTACGGGCAGATTTTGTGTGTATCCATGTTTTGCCCTGGCCTGTAAATGTGATGACCTTCCTTTTACAGTCCTGGGGACTGACAAAACTTAGCAAAGTTTTGCTCTTCTGCAGCAGAAAAGCCACTGAGACCCCGCAGCCAAGCCCAGAGGGTGGTCTATTGGCATTACTCACTCCAGCACAGTTTTGGCATAATGAAAGAGACGAACAAGCACAGGAGTATTTATGGTGACACAAGGATGTCACTGATACTGTTCCTCTCTGACCTTTCCCCAGTATCATTCTGAAGCTGTTTAAACTCCTAGTCAAGTTGTATCTTTTTCTGTTTACAAAAGGATTATATAAGAAAAACATCAGGGTGACTCAGAGTGGAAGCTTTAGAAAGACTGAAAAGTGAGCTAAAAAATTCACATCTATATTTCTGTCATCTTTCCCGGGCCATTCAATAGTTACCAGAAGACAGATGGGTAGCCAAGTGCCTGATGCAAAGTTGACAATGGCCCAAGATGCTCTTTGTTTGGCCAGTAGAGACCAGTGGAGTCAAGGACGAGAACAGGACAGGCCTGGAGCTTGCTGGGGCTGGTTTGAAGCAAGCAGGACTTGTTCTGTCCTATCCTATCCAGGTCTCGACAGGTGTCAGCATGACTTGCTCTGTCTCGTCCAGCTTGGTTTTCAGAGTACTGAGCATCTGTGTTCCTGTAGTTGCCCTGGTCCTTGGTGTTTCCTTGTTGCATGGTGTTTCCTTGCATGGTGTTTCATTGCTTGGAGATGTTTCATAGCGTTTCATTGTTGAGAGAAATTTCATGGTGTTTCTTCAGTGGGAGATGCTGCATGGTGTTTTGTTGTTGCCTCCCCAGGCAGATGTGCTGGAATGTGGGATAACATGAGCTGCTGGCCTTCGTCCGCCGTGGGACAGACTGTCAATGCTCACTGCCCTGAATTCTTCCAGATGCTGACTGGGAAAAAAGGTAGCACTAAAAATATGCTTTTCTTGCCCAGGTGGTTTTTATTGCTAATTTTATTTTTAAATGTGTTATTTACAAAGATGCCACTGTCAGATGTGAGCCTGAAGTGAAATTGTGTCCCCGCTTCTTTTGAAGACCTATGGTCACTTAGCAGCTCCATTTCCATCACTAAGCTAAACGTGGGAAAGCCTGGAATTAAAGTAGCAAGATGTTTTAAATGTTTATTTTTCTTAGCCAGGTGGAAAAAATGCAGGAAGTAAATGCTATCCTGAA